GGACTTGGTTCTATGGTCGGTCTTAAAGGGTTAATTGGTCCTTCTAAATTGCCCACTGGTGTGAATGTGAGTTGTTGTTTGTCTCTACGCGTTAGCTCTGCGACAGACTGGCGACCTGTCCAGGGTGCACCCTGCCCCTCCCCCTAAGACAGCTGATATAGGGTGGAGCCTATCCCAGCTGGGACCGACACAGCCAGCGTCTGTGAAGGTTCTTGGTCATCCAGGCCATCGTAGTCTGAGGAGCTTGGAAAGAAAAGCGTCTGGACGTTCGAGTTATCCAGCCCCCCCGCGACCCTGAAAATGATAAGAGGACGAATGGATGGATGTTTTTACGAATAGCTATAGATGATTGTAATTGATTGTAATACCACAATCAGTCTGTTTTCTAACTCTAGTTCTGTTTTCTTCTATTTTTGTTTTAGTAAAATGTTGATGTGAGTGTGCGTAAGATGCACTCACTTTATTAAAGCCTCATAAAAGTCAAAGCAGGACTTCTTCCATGTTCACTTCATGTGTAACAGGACGTTTATGAGGAGTCTGAACTGTTCTACAGTCACAGTAAATATTGTTTCTGTGATGATGACTGGTTAATATTCTGTGTGTGAGATAAAGCCTGTTTTTTAGGACATGACTTGCTTTTTGTTTGGAACAGGAAACCTTCAGATGTCTTCTAATGAGAAGCTAAAACATCTTTGAGTTTGTGGTCCTTAATTCTATTTTTTAAATACTGCAGTGAGCAACAGCTGCTGTGCTGATCCTGTTTTTTCTCTGACAGGACGGGCGGCAGTGGAAGCCATTCATAATCCGACCCATCCCATCACCGCTTATGAAACCCCTGCTTGTGTTTGTCAATCCCAAGAGTGGAGGAAACCAGGTACTCAGATTTGAAAACAGATCCACACCAGTGCAGGCATACAGTCAGTGACCTCGTAGTAGTCCTCTTTTCGTCCAAAATGTTTTAGATCTGGTGTTTTTGGCAACAGAAAGTTTTAAATTATAAATAAAAAGCAATAAACCACAGGACAAAAACTGGGAAAATAACTAAAATATAAACTAAAACAAAGTCAATTCTAAACAAAAGTTAAATAATAACTTGGTGTAGTTAACTAACTCATTACCAAAGAGAGAACATTAGTGATCAATCATGTCACTGTTGATGTTTGAGGCCACAATGAAACAAACATGAACATATCTGTGGACTCACAGGAACACAAACTGTGACGAAGTGTGTCTGACTGACTGCTTCTCTGTTGGTCAGGGCACGAAGATTTTGCAGTCCTTCATGTGGTATCTGAACCCCAGACAGGTGTTTGACCTGAGCCAAGGAGGACCAAAGGAGGGGTTAGTGTCTCACACACATGCTCATATACATGCACATATACATGCACATATACATACACATACATGCACATGCACATATACATGCACATATACATACACATACATGCACATGCACATATACATTCACATATACATACACATACATGCACATGCACATGCACATATACATACACATGCACATACACATACACATGTTCATATACATACACATGCACATACACATACACATGTTCATATACATTCACATATACATACACATACATGCACATGCACATATACATGCACATGCACATATACATGCACATATACATACACATACATACACATGCACATATACATACACATACATGCACATGCACATATACATGCACATGCACATATACATGCACATGTACATACACATGCACATATACATTCACATATACATACACACATACATGCACACATACATGCACATGTACATGCACACATACATGCACATACACATGCACATATACATACACATGCACATACACATACACATGCTCATATACATTCACATATACATACACATACATGCACATGCACATATACATGCACATATACATATACATGCACATGTACATACACATACATGCACATTCACATATACATGCACATATACATATACATGCACATGTACATACACATACATGCACATTCACATATACATACACATACATGCACATGCACATATACATGCACATGCACATATACATACACATATACATGCTCATATACATTCACATATACATACACATACATGCACATGCACACATACATGCACATGTACATACACATGCACATATACATACACATGCTCATATACATACACATATACATGCACACATACATGCACATGTACATACACATGCACACATACATGCACATGCACATACACATGCACACATACATGCACATGCACATACACATGCACATATACATACACATATACATGCACATGTACATGCACAGTTGTGTGAAATAATGTTTTCCACCTTCCTGATTTCCTATTTGTTGCTCAAGGTTAGTCACCCTTAATGTTTCAGACCATCAAACAAAGTTAAATATTAGATAAACAGAAGATAACATGAGTAAACACTAAGTACAGTTACTAAATGAAGCTGTTTATTATTGTTTATTATTAAAGGGAAAAAATTCCACCCCACCCTCGTTTAACATAAATTAACTGCGGTGTGGTTTACTGTGGTGAAGCTTAAACCCAGGCCTGATTACTGCCACCACCTGTTCTTAGTCAAGAAGTCACTTAACTATGACCAGCCTGACAAAGGGAAGTAGACCAAGACCAGAATGAGCCATTATCCACAGAAGGCAAAGACAAGGAATGGCAGCGAACCTTCCCAGAAGTGGCCAGCTGGCCAAAATTACCCCAAGAGCACAGTAATGATTTATCTAAGAGAGCAACATCCAAAGAACTGCAGGCCTCACTTTCCTCAGTTAAGGTCAGTGTTCATGACTCCACCATAAGACAGACGCAGGGCAAAACTGGCCTGCAAGAGTTCTGAGAAGAAACCCACTGCTGAGCAAAAAGGAACATAAAAGCATCTGGATGACCCCCAAGACATTTTGAAAAGTGTTCTGTGGACTGAAGAGACAGAAGTTTAATTTTTCGGTGTGCCTCATCACATCTTGTGTAAAAATAGCACAGCATTTCAGAAAAAGGAACATCATACCAACAGTAAATTGGCTGGTGGTGGTTGTGTGAAGGTCTGGGGCAGGACCTGGAGACTGGCTGCAGTAAATGGAAGCATCAGTTCTACTGAAGCTTTCTGAAGGAGAATGTCCGGCCATCTGTTTGTGACCTCGAGCTGAAGACGCTTCTGTTCTGCAGCAGGATAATGATCGAAAACACACCAGCAAGTCCACCTCTGAGTGGCTTAAAAACAAAATGAAGACTTTGGAGTGGCCGAGTCAAAGTCCTGACCTGACTCAGATCTAAAAGGCTGTTCATCCTCAAAAACCCTCAAATGAGGTTGAATTACAACAATTCTACAAAGATGATACTTGTGTTGTCCTTGTCTAATATTTGAATTTGTTTGATGATCTGAAACATTTAAGTGTGACAAACATACCAAAAAAAACAGGAAATCGGACACTTTTTCACAGCACTGTATATTTGCTGATCTGCTGTGATAGAATGAACTGATTTATGAACTGAACTGAATTAACCATTGACCTTTGTCTTGTAGTTTGGAGCTGTATCGTAAAGTCCATAACCTGAGGATACTGGCCTGTGGAGGAGACGGCACTGTAAGAATGACCACATGCACACATATTAATATGTTCACTTTGGAAAAGTCATGTGCATTTGCATTCAGCTGCTGCCTGGGAATAAATTATTTACTAGGTGGAATGATTTCTCTTACCTCTATTTCAAAATTGTCCCAGATATAAGAAAAGTTTGGTAAATTGCTGATCATTAACTACAAGAGCAAAAGCTAGAGTGTTTTGGACCAAGCTTTTTAAATGTGCACATTTGCTTCTTGTCTGAGCTCATGCTTGGATAAAACAGAACTGTAATAGTAGTACAGAGCCCTGCTTATACCGTTCCTGTTTTTAATCAGGGTGTAAAACTACAAATCAAATGAATTATAATGTGTATTTAATTTGCATATTATTTAGACTAGGAAGGAAGTTGATCGATGGATGGATAGCTTTCCAGTTTCAAACTTTCGGCTCGGCTTCCCCTCATGAGATCTGGTTTAGAGATGCTGTTCTTCCTCTGACATCACAAAGTCTCAGACCTTTGCTGACTGGAGACTTGGGCTCTTTATTTTGCGAAATCTCTAGTGATCATCTTTCTGCAGAGCGCTTTAGAGGGTTGTCCCTGCAGGTTACACTAGCTGCAGGTTGATTTAGTTGAATGAACCTCTGACTGGCAGAATAAATGCACGAGTGTCATCTGAGCACTGCTTCAAGGAAACCTTACTTTTTGTACTAAGGAGTTAAAATGTTCAAAGCCACTAATTAGCTTCCATGTGATTGGTTTAGACAGGTAGTACAGAACAGTCAGTTTCTGACCAGTATCTTTATTTATAATCCAACAGGACTAAACAATCAAACAATAAATATGTAATTCATATCCTATAAAGTCTTTTAGTAAAAGCAAAGTGTAACATGGAGCATATTTAAACTGAAATCAAATTCCCACCGCTTCACACTCTGCTGCGAACTGTTCCATTCGCCTGATGAGGGCAACAGAACCACATCATCTGCGAAAAACCGAGATGAGATTCTGAGACCTCCAAAGTGAAAGCCTTGCGCCACTTGGCCACACCTAGAGATGCAGAACAGAGGGTAGCTCTGGCGGAGTACATCACCAACCGGAAACAAGTCCAGCTTATTGCCGAGCTGCAACGGTTGTATAAGGATTGAATGGCCCGAGGGACACGGTCAAATGCCTTCTTCAAGTCCTCAAAGCACATGTAGGCTGCTTGGGCAAACTCCCATGCACCCTCAAGTATCCTTGGTCCAGTATTCCATGACCAGGAACATTACCTTGTTCCTCCTGTATCCGAGATTCAACTAATGGAATGACTCCACTGCCAGCACCCTGGCATAGACATTCCCAGGGTGGCTGAGGAGTGTGATCCCCCTATAGTTGGAACAACCACCCCAGTCTGCCAATCTAGAGGTACTGCCCCTGACCTCCATGCAACATTGTAGAGGCGTGTCAACCAGGACAGCCCAACAAGATCCAGAGCCTTCGGGAACTCAGGGCGAACCTCATCCACCACACGCGCCCTGCCACAAAGTGGCAGTTTCACTGCCTCAGTGACATCACCCCCAGAGATAAACGAGTCGTCCACCTCGTCCTCAGATTCTGCTTCCTCATCAGAAAATGCGCCAGTGGGATTAAGGGGGTCCTCGAAGTATTCCTTCTACCGCCCATTCTCAGTCGTAGTCATCAGTACTCCACCCGTACTATGCACCAACTGCCTTGTGTCTGCAGCTCAGTGCAGCAGCTTGGGCAATGGAGGTGCTGAACATGGCCCATTCAGATTGAAGCTCTGCCGGAGGTGTAAGTTGAAGATCTTGTGGTCCAGGGCCTCTGCTACACCAGGTCTGTCCAGTATCCTCCCCCGCCACCTGATCCAACTCACCACCAGGTGGTGATCAGTTGACAGCTCTGCCCCTCTCTTCACCCGACTGGCCAGAAGATGTGCCGCAGGTCTGGTGATACGATTCTAAAATCAATCATCGACCTGCGGCCTAGGGTGTCTTGGTGCCACGTGCACTTTTGGACGTCCTTATGTTCGAACATGGAGTTTGTTATGGACAAGCTGTGGTTTGTACTGAAGTCCAATAACAAAACAGCGCACAGACTCTACATGAGTGTTGAAGTCTCCGCGTAGGACAACAGAGTCTCCAGGTGGAGCACCCTCAAGCACTCCACCCAGGGATTCCAAGAAGGCTGGGTTTCTGAACCGTTGTTTGGCCCATAAGTGCAGACCACAGTCATGACCCATTCCCCAACCCGTAGGCGCAGGGAGGAAACTCTCTCGTCCACCGGGAGAAACCCCAACGTAGAGGCAGCAAGCCAAGGGGATACTAGGATACCCACCCCAGCCCGCTGCCTTTCACCAGGGGCAACTCCAGACTAAGACACAGTCCAGCCCTTCTCCAGGAGACTGGTTCCAGAGCCCAAGCTGTGCATTGAGGTGAGCCCGACTATACCTTCCCCACCAGGGAAGTGACATTTCATGTCCCAGTCACTAGTTTTGGTAGTCAGGGATCGGTCTGCCAGGGCCTGCTCCCGGCCGCCACCCGACACACCTTGCACCTGACTCCAACAGTGCCTGGTGTGGGTAGTGGGCCTACAGGAGGATGGGCCCATGTCCTTTGTCGAGCTGCACCTGGCTGCCACCCGACACACCTTCCACCCGACTCCAACAGTGCCTCGTGCGGGTAGTGGGCCTACAGGAGGATGGGCCCATGTCCTTTGTCGAG